CCCTCTTGAGTCTTTACACAGGAAAGTATATATATATATATATATATATATATATATATATATATATATATATGTGTGTGTGTGTGTGTGTGTGTGTCTTCGATCATTTTATCAATTTTATCAGCCGTTTCATGTGATGACGTCGGCAAACGATTGCAAATATTCTTCATGCACACCAAAAAAATAAACGACGTTTTAAAAAAACTACAAGTATGCAATGAATGTATATGTTTCGTAGAACACGGAACTCTGGATAATATTACCGACTTGGCTTCATCAAAATTCCTTGTGTTTGCTTTGCCGCGGACAGATATTGGGTTTTAATTTAGTTGTGCACTATTAACGTTAGCAAAACAAACGAAGTGTACAGAGGAATTCCGCACACACAGATGTGTTTATGCAATGTTCGAAAGAGCCAGGAAGTTGCGTTATGTGGGTAGATTTTCTGTTTCCATTTGTTTCTTGTAGTTTTTCAAATTGTTTTGAATAACGCTCGGTATTTAAAGGGCGGTAGTCGTCGCGCTGCGCATGTGCATTGATAAACATTGATTTTCCCACAATCCAATGCGCTTTTCTAATTGAAATCACAAGTATGAGGTTTGACCTGGACGCGACTTGCACTAATTACCGCCGGTGATACCTTCCAATCACCTGAAAATACCTAATTAAAGCTTGGTAACGTCTTAGTTTGTATTCGTTGATCTGTGCAACCGCCCTTTTTTAAAACTATTTCATAGTAAATGGGATTATCAATAGCCAATAGTACTACTCAAAAAATCTCCAGCATTTCAAATTGGGTGAACATTGGTCCAATTTACGGCGATACTTGGAAAAATTCCAAAAATGTGACACTTGTCGTAAATTTATCCTTTGTTGTTCCGTGGAAAATGAGACCTGTACACAGGGATAGTTCGGAGGAAATGTTAGAACTCTGCTTAACAGTATTTCATGTTCAAACGGAACTTCTGGGTTCCAGGGGCACATCATTCAAATGTTGAATACTAGTAGTTTCTGACCCGGAGAATATTCTTTAAAAAGAACGATTAAACGTTTAAATTAAGTGCGTTCTTAATGCATAATTAAAATGTTCCTAATGTTGCTATCTATCGATTTTTGTCAGAACATTGCACTTAATCGATACACTTTACGCATTTTCGAGTTCACGCATCTATTTCAGTTCAACGGACGTTTAAGGATTAGGTTTTGCTCGGGATTTGGATGACATCTCAATCAACTAACAAATCGATGTTATCATGTCGTGCAGAAAAGTGATGGGACAGAATCAACTCTGCGTTAAATGTACATTGATAAATAAATGCAGTGAAGAAAACGACCTGTTAGTTCTGAAATTACAGTAGATCATTATCATGATACGCACCTCCGCGTACCAGGCGTTTAAGTTTCCCACGACGAGTTGTGAGTTTATTAACCTCATTGAACACCATTAATTCCCCGCCAGAATTTAGGTAAAACAATTCAATTTTACTAATTTTTCTATAATTTCGAGTTTTGTAAATCATTTTGTACTTGATACGCAGTTTTTGATTAAGAATGTTTGGAAAAATAATATCTTAAAAAATGTATGCGGTTTTATCATTAGTTTTAGTCCTAACTGTTGACTTTGTCGTGCAAAGAACCAAGAGTGTTACTATCGGTGTGGTTGGGTTTTGTGAGGTTGAGTTGGGATCTCTTACCTACTGTATAACCCATTGGTATCAACAAAAACCGTTCTTCAAACAGCGGAAATCGTCATTTTTGGTGGAAAGGAGAATTAATATTCCGAAAACTCTTGTAAGTATCTACTTTAGAGGAAGGGGCTGGTGGCACAATTCCAACTTTCCAGCGAGGCACCCCCCCCCCCCGTGGCTAGCTCAAAACTGAATGAAATTTCAGTTTCAGATGGCCAGCCCCTTACAGTAGCTTGTATTAGTATTAACAAACTAATACCATATTGCAGGTGTCGTGTGCAAGGGCCTGCGGCGACAAGTGCCGGGACAGTCGGGAAACAAGGCGATTAGCTTTGTTTCAATCCCAGCGGCCGACAAATTAGACGTCAACCCAAGCGACAGATCTGATTAATTGGTAGCCATTTCCCACGCCATGATTAAATATCTTTCCGAATGATTTCGCACGTCCTTGAAAACAACAGCATTTAAGCGACATTTGTTTTGACAAGAAAAAAAAAAATGGGTGGACCAGATGAAAACCGAGCGGAAGCTCTTGTTCAACCGCCCCCAGTGTGTATTTGTTAACACTCACACCCGCTTCAGATAGAATTGACATGGCTTTCCGGTAAAATTTTTCATGTGTATACTGTTTCAAAAAGTAGCCCCTCTCCTCGCTTAGATTTACAACCCCAATATTGCATATCCAATGCCATCTATGTACTACTTTCCTAACAGGTAATCTATCCGTCTGCTATTGTTTCTGACGTCATGCATTTTTTGCGTGAGCTTATTACAGCAACTGATGAAAACTGTTCGAGCGACTTTTTTTAGAAGGATCCTATGCCCAAGAATACATTCATTCTTATTGTAATTTTCGGTGTTAACAATAAATCGTTATAATTGATTTTGACGTAGAAATCATATATTTGTACACTTTTGTGGGGAGTGGGGTCAAGTAAATTCTACATTTGCTCTAGTTTGAACATTATCTACGACAAAATAAACGTAAAAAAGGAAAACATTCATAATCTGTAAATTTATATTAGCCTGTCATGAAAATGTCTACCTGTTAGCCGTTTTTTTAATTCCTCCAACACCCCGTCACGTGACCAGTCAGTGCAGCGATGAATACTCGCGCGATTTCGCATACCCCGCAATTAGCTGACATTAGATGAAACGTTACAGACCAACTAATTCCATTCACTGGCAAAACACGAGTAATAGCTCACCATTTTGAGCTTGAATTATGCTGCAATCTAGATGACATTTTCAAATGATTGGAACGCAGGTGTTCGTATTAGCTTTAACTACGTGTTCCTGGAGACAGGGCTCCTCGTGCATACGGCTTACAATCAACATTGACAAACGGAAAGCTCATCTATTCAATGCATCATTTTCGTCAATTCGTGTTTAGCCTGAATCCTTGCCAATTAATGCGGAATCTAAGGTTTCCACTACAAAACGTTGTCATCATCATTAAACAGGCTCTCATATTTACTCAGACGCCGTCGTGATATTAATATAATTGTCGGAATTTCTTATCAAAATAATCGATCGATCGTCTGTTCATATTTCCGAATAATAACAGTAATGTAAATGATTAGATATTATTTACGGTTTCCATGTACTATATTATATTACGTAATAGTTATTAGACGTTCATTATTGTTTTTTGTGATTATAGCATGTAAACAACACATTAATATACTAACACCTAACACTTGTATCCAAGTGTGTTTTGTAAACATAACACTTGTATTCATGTGTTTTGTAAACCTTATACTTGTGTTCATGTGTGTTATGTAAACCTCACACTTGTATTCATGTGTTTTGTAAACCCCACACTTGTATTCATGTGTTTTGTAAACCTTATACTTGCATTCATGTGTTTTGTAAACCTTATACTTGTAATCATGTGTGTTTTGTAAACCTTATACTTGCATTCATGTGTTTTGTAAACCTCACACTTGTATTCATGTGTTTTGTAAACATTATACTTGTATTCATGTGTGTTTTGTAAACCTTATACTTGTATTCATGTGTTTTGTAAACCTTATACTTGCATTCATGTGTGTTATGTAAACCTCACACTTGTGTTCATGTGTGTTTTGTAAACCTTATACTTGCATTCATGTGTGTTATGTAAACCTCACACTTATATTCATGTGCGTTTTGTAAACCTTATACTTGCATTCATGTGTGTTATGTAAACCTCTCACTTGTATTCATGTGTGTTTGTAAACCTTATACTTGTATTCATGTGTTTT